CTTCTTGTTTTTATCCTGTAAGGTTAGAAGGCTTAAGGGTACACGCTTCTGTATCTGGTCTTCTATCCATATCACCAATAATTTTTCCATATCGTGAATAGGACCTTGTCTTTTCTTCGAAATTATAGGTGTTGTTCCTTTCACTACATCACGAATACGTTCCTTGTCCTTCAGAATAGTTGATATGGTCGAGTGCGAGAAACCTAGTTCGCTTGAGATTGTTGCTACAGTTTTACCATTCTCATATTGCATTATTATCTTCATTTTCATCTCAAAAGTAATTGCCTGTCTCCTTTTCTTCTGAGCACCACCAGCACTCTCACTTGTACGCTTTCCAGTCATTATAAAGTCAATTAAATACAATAATAAAGTAAGTACACAGCGCGATCAGTATAGGATACGATAGCCAAACACCAACTAAGCGCTGTACTGAGTGAGTGTAACCACGCGGTGCCCCGAGCCAGCCACGCTCTCGCCTGGGACGGAAACGTTTCGGTATAGAAAATGAGCGCATCATTTGAAAAAATTTTTGGTCACGTCTGCGGTGTTCGTACGGTCAGAGCAGGTCGTAAGTGTGGATGGACGTAAGTTGAGTCAGCCGTAAGTCGGGGACTACCTGTTTTGGCAAAACATCTTGGGTAGCGGCTGGTAAGACTGGCTTTTATTCTGTGCATTCGGAGTGTGCTGAATCTGTATTTCTAATTAATTACATGCCCTAATCCTCATTTAATTTTTTTTTATAAAAAATAAATGACTCCAGTCACATTAAACTGATTTTTTGATACAGTGAGAAACTTTGGAGATTTGCAATAAAAATTCTACATCTAGTACAATTCTCTTTTGCATATTTTTTTTTTGCATATTGCCCTACAGGATGTACTCCATGGTAACTGTTTGCCATTGTTATCAGTGTCCACACTAACAGTGTCCAGCATCTATGTATCAAATGCAGAGATAGAAACCCCTTCCACTCAGGCTATCAATACAACTTAATACAAAAATAGATTTTGATCTGTGATAGTTATCAGCCCACTTCAATAGATGATGAGATTTATCTTCCTTATTCTGTCCATTTATCACTGTGCTTAAACAATACTGTATTGTTGCTTACATACAGTAGATGTATTTGTAGTACTGTACTGTATGTCAATTAATAAAATTTCAGCATTATGAAGTTTGCAGTATTGCTGTACTGCATTAATAGCTTCTACTTAAAGACCGATGGATAATTATTTGAAACTTCACTGTTGCTAGTTTAGTGGACAATTTAGGTCTCATTTTTTCCAATATTTGCTGTTTTATGTAAAGGAGATATTTTTTGGTGGAAAGGCAAAACAATAAAATAAACTTCAGAGTTGAGAATCACAAAGTAAAAAAAAAAAAGCAATTTTTACGATACTACGACCATTTTCCTTTGAAAAGCAACAAATATTGAGGAAACTGAAACCCAAATTGTCACCAATTATTACATGGAAGCTTAACTGGGGGGCTCTGTCCCCAGACTCTCCAATTTCTAGATTAGTCATAACCTAAAGATACCTTGCCAATCTGTTAGATAGGGTGGAATCAAAGGCATTTCGTCTGATTAACTCTCCTACTTTAGTCGATAATCTCTTCCCTGTCTCTTCACCGCAATGTTACTTCACTCTCTCCCTTTTACAGGTACGTTAACGGGGAATGTTCGGTGGGTTTGGTATCCTGTGTACCGCCGGTGTAGCAGTTAAAAGTGAAGTGTTAGATAAAAATGAAATGTCAGACGTACGTCACATTTGGACAGCGTCGGTTGGCGTTGCTCCGCAGTCAGCCTAATTTCTGCTTACATGATGGACGTGCATTCCTCTGACACGTATGTGTTTATACGTTTGGTATTGCTTAAATTATATTATATTAATACAGTTTAGTGAGTGTTACCCTAAGGTCAGGATTGACCATATTGCGATACCACAGCCAAGCTGATCCCTGACTTTTCTGTTTACACAAAGACCTGACATCCTAGAAAAGCCCAAGTGCATTCTACAACCTCAATGACGTCACAGCTGATCCCCCCTCTTTCTATTGGTCTGTTCTCACAATGACCTGACCTGAACCTCAGGCAACCATCACCTCTGCCTCCTCAGCCCCAGGTGCTTTTGGCTGACTGACAACCTCTTTGAAAATCTTATGATTCATTACAATGGTTCTCTGTGACCGTTAATTGTCAATTGCTATGTTTATATGTTATCATGTACTGTACTGTAGTGTATATTTAGTGGATTTTTGCATTTCTGATTTGTTTTGAGTAATGAATAAAGTACATGAATGAATGAATGAATGAAATGAATGAGTAAAATGAATGATGATGATTAATGAATAAAATAAGTGAATATAGTAGATAAATTAATGAAATTTACAAAATTAATGATGATGAATAATGAAAAAACCCAAGAACAATGAATAATATAAAATCTATAAAGATATTGTTTCTATACTATCTTTATGTTTTTTAAGTATCAGTAGACTTGTAGACTGTATAACAATATGGCAACACAAAGTTTCAAAAACATCATTGGGGTCTCAGGTCATATATCCAGTCATATAAATATATTTTCAGTGTATTATTGAAACTGAAACTGTTGAAACTGAAGTTGTCATTGCTATGTGCAGAGTTGTAAAAAGTACTGAACTTTGTTACTTAAGTATTGTATAAGTATTGCTACATTGGCAAAATGTTACTCAAATAGAAGTAAAAGTATCCAAATGTCAATGTACTCAAGTAGAAGTAAAAAAAGTATATCATTCTTAAAATATTCAAGTGCTGAAAGTAAAGAGTAACAACAAAATTATTATTTGTCTCAAATATTAAAATAAATTGAATAAATTATAAAAAAAGTGAACTAAAGATAAAAATAAGACACATAACATTATACACGTTTATTTGAAGATCTTTCTATTAAGATAATAAATAACTGATTCTCAAAATTATGGCTGTCCAGTCAAGATCTTTTAGGCCTAAATATAAACCCAGCATGATCTACAATCCATTGGAGGGATGGTGAACGTGCTGAAAATATATCCATCCAACACAAGTATCGTTGATGTGGCCTTATGGTCCACAGACATAATGTAATGTTGTCTGCTCGTATTAGGTTAGGATACAGACCTATCTGGCATGTATCTGAGGTGGGGAATGACCAACACTTTTCCAATAAACTTTGTAATTGTTCCAATGCTAACACCCTTCAGCACTACTGTATTGCCTTGACTGTCCCACTGTCAGGGACGTTCTACCACAGGGCGAGTGCTAACTCCTATTGTCCTTAAATCATATCAATATTGTCTCCATATCACAAGTTATATCATGTCCTGCAAGACACGAGTGCCCATGTATTAGTGTCTGACCACATGGTCTTGGAACTAGGGTTATCACTACTGGGGTGTAATAAATTAATTAAATAATAAATAATAATCCCAGCACAACTAAACAGACGCTCACAAGCAGTAGATGCAGGTAGTGGGGTGTTAAGCCCGAGAGATAAGTCACATAATGTCGGAAAAGACCTCAGTAGCCGCACATCATCTCCTGGGCATTCCAAGTTTATTTATTTATTTAATTACCGGGTATTTATTTATTTTTTATTTTTATTTTTTATTAATTTTTTTTTTTTACACATAGATTAGCCCACCCGGGCACAGGTCACTGATCCACGCCGGAGCCGGGGGGGATGTAATAATTATTCATAGTAAATAAAATTTATAATAAGTAAAATAAAATAATAATGATAACGATGTAATAATTATTCATAGTAAATAAAGATTATAATAAAAAGTAAAATAAAATAATAATTATAACAATAATAACACTGTAATAATAATAATAAAGATCTATAAAGAAATACAGAAATGAAAAAAAATCAATAGTGAGAAATACTATATGTATGTTGTGTTGTCAAGTAAGAGAAACAATTGAGACCTGCAATTGTGTGTAAATGAAGCAGAAAGTCAGATCAGAAACCTGGGAAATGGTCACAATTTTTGTGATGCCATATGGCAGCAGGGTCTACCATTAGACAACACATTATGCTTCCAATATCTTCCCAGGCGGTAGTACCTCCCTGTTTGATAGCTGCCTACTACCTAGCTATTAAGCTCCTTCAATTGAGGAGTTTGTGGATGATTGTTGCCTCCATCGTGACTGAGTCTGACTAAGACTCCCTGTGAACTGTCCCTCTAATTGGGGTGTGGCTGTGGTGACATCACTCTATAATTCTAATTGATGAGTGGCTGAATTTTTCGCACCACGTAACATCTGGCGGGTGCTGGCAAAGGGGGAGCAGTGGTACTTAGTTATTTAAGCAGAATTTTAAATACACCCAGTTTCACATACTGTATGTATATACTGTGGATACTAAATTGCTTTACATAAAGCATTTAGAATCACAGCCTCTTCGAAATTCATTTCAGGTACAGGATATACAAAGAGCAAATGACGTCTAACTGAAAGGTGGGAGAGAAGAGAGGGGAATCAATAGGGGAGGGGGTGGTCAAGATGCTAATGGACACAATAAGATCAAAGGGAAAGTCCACTGCCACCTGATCTGATGTGACCTGACTTCACCTCACCTCACGAAACCTCTAGGTATGTGACTGCGTGGTGTCCTCACAGCTCCACTCTCACCATACCCTCTACCCACACAACTCTTTACTATGGTTAATTATTAATTCATTAATTAATTAAAAATATTATTAGTTTGCCACAGACATAAAACTCTTTATTTGTTTGTTTGGGGCCTGTAACAAATAATGATTTTTTATTTTTCAATTGTATTGAAGTAAAAGTACAGCATTAGAAAACCATACTTATCCTGTAAGTAAAAGTACTAAATTTTTCTATTACTTTTTAAAAAGTAGCTACCCAAAAATGTTACTTGAGGACAGTACCGGTACTCAAGTAAATTTATTTAGTTATTTTACTACTCTGGCTATGTGAAATGCAAAGAACACAGGCTTAATAATACAACTCATAAAATATTCAAGATAGAGACATGATTTATAAAATACAGTACTGTAATATACTAAACATTGGATGTAATATTGTATAATGCAGGTTTTCAAGAAACTGGACCAATGGGTCACTTGAAAATTTAATATTTTTTAATCACTATAGTGATTATAGAACCTAAATTAACAGTCTGTTAAAACTTCAAAGTTACTAGGAAGAAATACACTAGGTGTTGCTCATCGCCAACATGGTGTTCACTTCCCAGATGATCGTGCGCAACTGGTCTATAATCTCCTTCATGTATCGGGCTTTTAGGTATAGTTGCTGTAAAGAAACCAAAAACCAGGTTTATAAATAATTTGCAAGAAAGTAAGAGTACTTCCAAAACCTTTTGGTGGTAGTACTGTACAAATTTATTTTTAATTCTGATGCTGCAAATAAATAAATACCGTATAACCCAGCATACAAGTCGACCCAGTGCACAAGTTACCTCAACCTTTTCAGCCCAAAATTTTGTTTGTGACTACAGTATACAGGGGGTATACTGTATATATACTTGCTCTGTAAGTGGACTCCCCCAAACACTGAGCATCCATTGACTCAGGGCTCATCTTATAATAAATATTAGGGTGTGTCAATTTAGGGGGTGAACTGGCTAAATTGAAAATCGAGTAATTTGGTAGCAATTTATTGTAGTCTTTAAGCAGGCAAAACAATATTCTGGCATAAATTTTTTTTTATAATAAGTCCTACCTACATCAAATGGATTTTTAAATGTACATATTTGTGAATTTATAACATAACCAGCATTTGCACACATGTTACTGTTTCAAGTTTCAAATTATTATATTTTATTATCCGTAGTCTATTTGAAAGTAACCAATGCCTTCATACTCTCTTTGCTTTGGTTTCTTGTCATCAGTAGTCTGCTTGCTATTTGTGCTTTGATGTAACCTTCGCCTCTCGTGGCTGTAAACATGGCCCGCTGCTTCTGTGACCATTTTCACACATCTCTCCACACTTTGAGTGTGGGAAGGCCACTTCGGCACCTGCATTGGAGTCTCTTTAAGGTTTCTCAATTCTTGGCTAGTTAGACTTGTTGTCAATGGTGGCTCTAAGACTTCCAAACTCAAGTCAACCAATTCTGACAATTTGGTGGCATTGACGTTTATTGGGGGAACTTTTCTTGAATGAAACGAACAGTCTCCCAACTGGTCGTCATCTATTAGCGTTCCTCTAATCTTTAGAATGACTTCTACAGCCTCGGTTCGGAGATTGGTACATTGACTGCAAAGCATTGCTTGCAAAACTGCTTCTGATCGAGCATACCAAGCGGACCTTCTTGCCACAGGTAACACGATGTCCCTCACTACCTTCCTCTGTGTTCTTACTAGCTGCAATTGAAACAAAAGGTGATTGGGCCCATCCACCCACATAGGATTAAGTTTCACACTAAACCACTGGGGAAGATAAACTCCAATAATAAATTCAACAATTAACCTCAAATTCTTCAGCACTTTGCCCTTCAATTCGTGTTTGGAAATCCAAATCCTGCAGAAACGAAGAGCTGTAGTTAACCAACGGCTGTGACTGACAGGTCCAATCTCCAAGAGAGCCAATGACTGAGGCACTTCTCCTGATCTTATTGCTTGGGCAATACGATAAGCATAGGATTGATCTGTGCTGAGATCTTTGATGACTCCTTCAGACAACGCCGGAAGGGGAGGGCCAACTTCGACCTTTGGAAAGGTTGTATTTATTTCTAGTTGTGTTGCTTCATCCAGCATGATGCCAAGGGGACCTGACCACTTGTTGTTGCTCTTTGTAGGACCATCAAGTTCCTGGATGAGATGACGAAGAGGTAGCTCGCCTGTATGTAAATCACATACAATCCAAACAAGTCTTCTTCCTAGTTTTTTCTCTAAATGCGTCATTACACCCCCCTGCCATCCGGTGTTCACTGCAATTGAATCTCCACCAACAGCCTGCAGTGAACTGCCAAGTCCTCTCTCCTGAACCCAACATAAAATATGATCAGCAATGACCTCTGCATGTTTCTTCCCTTCTACTTCAGTTTCGGGAGCAAAGTGAAACAAAAACCGACCACCAGGCTCAGAACAGACAGAGTAGTGTTCTTCTTGGATGAGACCTGGAAACTTTCTGTTCACTCCCTATACTTCTAGCAAAACTTTTGTGTCATCTATTCTTCCATCAAACAAAAGACAGGAGAGCCCTCCCTCGCTTAAATCTTTTTCATGCTGACCAGATATTTCCTTCATTATTTTTTCTTGTGCTCTTCTAATTTTATTATGATCTATCACCAAAGATACATCCTCTCGGCTGATGAGGCCTGCATCTATCCAAGCGGCAGTTGCAATTTCTGCAGCCTCACGAAGTCCAGCATGGTGGCGAATACTAGCTAAAGCAATGTTTGAAATATTTCTTGTGTTGTATTTCATTTTCTTTGGTAAAGGTTCAGATGGCTCTTTGGAACTATCATCTGATGTTGCTTCCTGTTCATCAGAAGAACTATCAAAGAAGTGATAAACATCTTGACACAGCTCTTCCTCTCTTTGGATGGCTTCTTCACTCTTCATTTTCTTCTTTTGTTCCCTCTCTCGGATTTGTTCTCTCTTCTTGGCATTAGCAATCTGCTTCTTTGTTTCTGAATAATCTATTGAACCCATTTGCATACTTCCTTGGCCTTCTGCCTTTGTCCTCTGTGCCTTTATAAATTCAAGCTCTAAAACAGGGATCTTCTTTTCACGAGGACAACCACAATCAATGTGGGAATTATTTTCTCTCTTACCTGAGTGAGAACAGTTGGATTCAGAACATAATTGTATGGAGCACTTGCAGGTCAAAATGTCAAACAGAGTATCAAGTGTGTGCAGAAATTCATTTTTCCTGGCCAAGTTTCCTTTACCAAGTGATGTTTCAACTGCTTTGTGCCATAATTTCGTTAGTTTTAGCTCAATAGTTCGACACTGATTAATCACAGGTGGTTTGAATAGTGCATTAGCTTTTGTCCATTGATGCAGAAGAGGGACTATCATGTCATTTATGAGTTCTTTATCTGTATAGTTCCTTCTGTCCTTTGCATTTTTTTCTCGAAGGAGTAACCCTAATCTTAGCATGTCTCTCACTGTTGGAAGTTCTGATACAGGAAGCTCCTTCCCTTTACCAACTAGCAGGCTCAAGTGGGTTGACAACTGACTTCTTGTCTTCAATTTTGACATCTTCACACTATCTGACAAATAGAAAAATATTTCAATGTTTCATAATTCAATTGTTGTTTCAAAAAATATCAATTTGTTTATCAAAAATGCTGTAACAGAAATAACATAATAATTTCTTAGAACATAATGTTTTATACAATGATATAAGTAACTGCGACAATCAATATGCCCTACTTACAATAATTAAAATGTAGAATTCGTCTGGTAGAGTAGGTGCAAGTGCAATGAGAGCAAACCACCGTCTATGATATCTAGAAGGAGAGTGAGCCGGGCGCCTTATCCTCACGCTTGGTACAAGTCAAAACAAGAATTAAACTGTCCCACACGGAGAGCCTGTTCATGTTCATGTTCTGACATGCATATTGTACACAAGCTATAGAACCATAAAATACTCCATAATCCATATGCTTACATGAGATTAGTTAATATCAAGTGAATAATTCTAATCAAGTCTCATTAATTTGTTGAAATACTGATATTTGAAACTTTAAGGTATAATTGATGTAGGTGAGGGTTATTTCAATTCATTTTTGTTTGCTAATCTCAAGTTTAGACATAAAGAGGCACAATATTTTGACTACCAAATTTGATTTTTAACATGTTGACAAAATTGACACACCCTAATAAATATGATAAAAAAAAGCAATATAAGAACATGGGATGCAGCATAGAGATGCAAGCTGATATGAAGTGACCCAAGTCACAATATTTACCAGGAACCTTACCTACTTAGGTCTGGGCCCAAGGAACTCTTTCCCACCTTAGAACTAATCTGAGGGAGCAGTGAGGATCCTCCCAACCTTCTTCACCCCCCCCCCCAACAATCAGGTTTCTTATTCAACATGACTCTTCTACAGTGACCCTTTCAAAATCTCCAGGCACCATTTATATATATAAAAGAAAAAATTACCAATAGAATGTAAATAACAAAACATAAAATTCAAAATAGTGACCATTTAGCACTTATACCAAAGACTATTTGTTTTCATCAACTCTGAAGTCTTTCAATTCAAAATTTACCTGGATTTTAAGGTTCACATTTTATACTCAGCAGATAAGACAAGTCCTAGTTTTGAAGATATTTTTTGAGCTTTGAAGGTTGACTTATATGCCAGCATATACAGTATATAAATAAACAAACTGTACCTGAACCTACAACTACCAGTCTTCCTTCTTTATTCAGAATTAGTACAACACAGTCATTGTTTTTGTTATATGCCTGCCTTGGATCTGATCTGGTATTACATGAGAGTACAGTATTCCTGGACTGATATGGAACTATAAAAAGGGTTTATCTCTCAACCAGAAAGATCAATACCTGCTTATCAATACCTGTCATGTTTAGTTTTCATAAGAGTAACATAAAAGGGCACGAATGTGACACAGAAGCAACCCACCTCCTTGAGTTCCCTAGATTCCTCCACAAGATGACGATAGTTTTCACCAATTTTCTTGTAGTCTGCCCTGTTGTCTGCCTCGTCCTTGTAAGGAATTAAGCTCTGTGATGACAGAGTTGCTAAGTTGCACAACAATTAACAACAGCTTGGATTTGTAAAATGATGCAGCAAAACATGAATATACATACAATATTATATTATCCTTTTAATTTAATAAGTAAATGGTTTGAAGCATGTAATATACATATATAAATTATATCTCAATACAAAATAATTTATGCAGACAGAGCCAATAAACCAAAGTTACAATACAACCTGTCCAATAATCTGCTTTATTTTCTTTGCACCAAAAAGGAAGTTAAAATCAGCTTAAATTTGTTTTGGCAAATCACCAACTACCTTAAAACTTATGGCTTAGTATACACATTTATAAACCTCATAATGGAGGACTGGCTTAGTGTACACATTTATAAACCTCATAATGGAGGACTGGCTTAGTGTACACATTTATAAACCTCATAATGGAGAACTGGCTTAGTGTACACATTTATAAACCTCATAATGGAGGACTGGCTTAGTGTACACATTTATAAACCAAATAATGGAGGACTGGCTTAGTGTACACATTTATAAACCTCATAATGGAGGACTCATCCCTAAGTTATTTTTTTATAACCTTGAGAGTACAGTACTGAACAGCTCAATAAGAACAAGTCAAAGGGTTTTAACCCCAATGTGTGACTGAGATTTATAAACCAAATAAATTCAATAATTAGATTATTCTTCACCTTCACACAAAGAATGCAAGGCATATCCATACAGTAAGAAGATAATCTAAAATGGGAGAAAACTTGATACAGTGAACCCTCAAAGATTCGGACCCAGTAAATCCGGATTTTGGAAGATTCGGACAGAATTTTGGGGTTCTGGGGGCTAAGAAGCCTCCCTAAGAAGCATTCCCAAAACAGAGCAAAGATCATCTTAGGCTCGTGTAACTGAAATGTCAGCGCGCTGGACGCAGGTGCCCGAGGAGGGAAACATAAACAGAGTTGTCAATTGTTCTTTGTATGTGTATATTTCTCCCATACAGTATGTATTTTGACACTATGCCTGGCAATGGGAACAAGTAAGTGACCACTAGTTAAAGTGTTGTCGGCTCTTGTAACTCTCCTCACCCCCTGCCATATTTAAATGGATTTACTGTTATTATTAGTGTTTACGGATATAATAGTGATTAATCATGGCACTTGTAGTCAGGTTAAACTCGTCACTGTAACCACCAGGCTACTGGGCCAAGTTATGTGGTGTTATGGTAGTTTTTCAACTCGTATTTTCGGGTAGATATACGTAACTTTTTTCATTATTTTCACTTAATTACATGCACACACCATCCCACAAACATATTGTGAAAAAGGTAAAAGAAATAATTGTCCTAAGGGCAAACACGTAATGGGAGGAGAGCGTCGGGGGTGGGGAGCATTGCTTGGGAATTGGCGTCCCAGCTGGTCTTCGTTACTTTGGTGAAGCAGGGATTGTATGCAAATGACGACTGTGTTAAACTTTCATTTGTCTTTTATTTACTGATTTAGCAATACATTATTTTTTGTTGTAACTTATTTATTGGTATTATTTTTAATTATTCCTCACATTTCCTGGCTACAGAAGGAAAATAATTTTTTTTTCCCTAAATACTCCCTGCTAAAATGGGGGTTGTGTCGTATATGCCATAAAATACTGTACTGTATTTTTGGTCTTTTTATATCATTATTTGTCGTTTTATACATTTATTATATTTGTCAGAAGATTTTGACAATCGGCTTTATCGGACAAGTAGTCTCCCCATTTAGTCCGGATCTCCCAGGGTTCACTGTAATTTTGTTGTGAACATAACATGAAACACTGATCTATCCATTTGCTGATGTTGGATACAAGCACTCAATCCCAACCAAACCAGTCCAGATCCAGCTCACCTGAGCACCCAAAAAGGTGAAATTCAAGATCAACCTTCCATTTATTACCTACATCGGGGTCAGTGAACTCACTATACCGCAGTCATCTACCGTAAAATGGGAGGTGAAAGGACATGAAGGCTGCACTGGCAGTGCCAAAACTTATAATCTTATTTATACAACCAATCTAATGTCAAACTTATAGTAGGAAATAAATGAAAAAAATTAAAGGTCCTTCATTACCTGTGCAACCCTAAGCTGAAAAACCAGCAACTGGCTCTGAGGTTGTTGCTAATGGCTCAGCTGAATGATGAATCACTATGCTCTTATCATAAACTCCCCCACTGATATATCAACCCTAAGGTTTCACACCCACCGAGAACCACCACAACAAGAGTACAGTATCTATTTATAACCTAAACATGTAAAATGTATAATATAACTAACTATACAGCTACACAATATTAACAAGTTAAAAAAGAAACAGCTAAATATACACATGAATACAGTTTGTAATTTCAAATTAAAGACTTCCACCATATGTGAAAACTGTGGTAAGTACAATAGTATTGTCAGCAAGGATTATATCTTAATATCAATTAGGAAAATATTTGTCATTAACATTCAGGCAGTCTAAAGTTACTTTATAAATGGTACAGTAATTTATAAACTGACCTCTATATGAGTATATTCCATCCCTGCACAGTCATCATTAACACGGATGTAAATGGCTCTGAGGGGTTTGAAGTGACGCTGAATGGCACTGAGATTTTCTTGGATCCGCATTTTTTTTTCAGTACTTAACTGTGTGCCTTGATTAGAACCATTTGGAAGCTGCAATTCAAAATACAATATGCATATTCAAAATCACAATCATGAGAAGAAAACTAATAATTCAAATGAAATAAGTATTACCCTTTCTTAGTAGGACCATATTGACCATATTGTGCCTCTCAAGCACAAACTTTTATAATTTTCTATAGAGTAGAGTACATTATCTCTCATCATAACATAACATCTACCACCCACACACTTCTCTATTCCATGCCTTCAACTTAACTTTAACTGCACAGATGACTAGATATTTTCCTATTTACTATTAAACATTAATCTTATTTAATAATACAGTATTCCCTTCAAATTCGAGGGGGTTAGGTTCTCAAAATGGCTGTGAATCGCCAAATCCGCGAATAATGGCCAGACGAGGGGGGGGGGTTACATTTTTACTTGTGTACAAAGAAATGTATACAGTTAACCCTCACTTTACGCGGTTAATGTAACCCACAGGGTACCGCGGAAAGCGAGAAATTCGTAAAGTGAATAACATAACATATGGGATTAATTGAAAAGGAGTCCAGGCCGATCCCCAAACTCCACTTTTTGACGACACATAACTATGTTGTAGTAAAAATAACATCTTAATTTTATGATGGTACATGCACACAATTAATACTTAAGAGAAATACAGTCGCCAAGTTAATGTCCATTCAAATAATGGACACACTCCCTCCCCCTCTTCTCACACTACACTGTTGGCTCTTCCCTCTGAGAAATTTTGGGGGTAAAACCAGGTATAGTAATAAATAATACCTCAAACTAAAGTTAGGATAATACAATTGACATTGCTGGATTCCTTGTAAGACCAGGAATATTTTGAATATAAATGTCATATATTTTTCACAAAAGATAACATATTTACTCAGATTAAACATTACATCTAAAATTTGTATGTCTAATGCAAAATCTATGATGTTTATATTCAAAATGATCATCAAATTGTAAGAATTCCAGCAATGTAAATTATATTCTGGCCGGGTAATTTGTATGAATTTTATGAGCTAAAACAAATATCTTCAGTTAATAAAAAAAAAAATATTCTTCACGACACTATCTGTCAATCAAAGTACCCCACCTTGCCTCCCCCCCTCTTCCAACCGCGCGGTCAGTCCCAACCCTCCCCCCCACCTCCTCCCTTCAAGAGAAAGAGTGGGTGAAAAAAATAAATTTTAACATTTTGTATTAAATAATACCTCAGATTAAAGTTAGGATAATATAATTGACATTGCTGGATTCCTTGTAAGACCAGGAATATTTTGAATATAAACGTCATATATTTTGCACAAAAGATAACATACTTACTCAGAGTGAACATTATATCTAAAAATTTTATGTCTAATGCAAAATATATGATGTTTATATTCAAAATGATCATCAAATTGTAAGAATTCCAGCAATGTAAATTATATTCTGGCCGGGTAATTTGTATGAATTTTATGAGCTAAAATAAAAATCTTCAGTTAATAAAAAAAAAAAATATTCTTCACACGGTAACAGATGGTCGGTCGCCGGTCCCTCCCTCCCTCCCCCCACCAACGTCCCTACTAGATAAATGTGTGGGAATACCAGACTGTTTACCTTTTTAGTAATAAATAATAAATCAGACTAAAGTTAGGATAATATAATTGACATTGCTGGATTCCTTGTAAGACCAGGAATATTTTGAATATAAATATCATATATTTTGCACAAAAGATAACATATTTACTCAAGAGTAAACATTATATCTAAAATTTGTATGTCTAATGCAAAATCTATGATGTTTATATTCAAAATGATCATCAAATTGTAAGAATTCCAGCAATGTAAATTATATTCTGGCCGGATAATTTGTATGAATTTTATGAGCTAAATTAAAAAAATTATACTTCATCCGTGTAAAGGGGTACACCCACCGCGGAATGTGAGCATCCTGGGTTCTGGCAGGGCACCGCGTAAACGTGGAAACACGGAATGTGGGACCGCGTAAAGTGAGGGTTGACTGTATTCCGTTTGTGTGTTTGCCCTTAGGAAGAATTATTTCTACCCTCAAGACTACTTCCCATTAATAGTTATGTGTATGTGTTTTGTGTATGTGTGTGTCTACACACACACACACATATATATACAATACAGGTAAATGAAATTACTGTCTATAGAATGAATGGTTCCCTGTCCCGGCCGTGAAAATGCCGGCAACTTTAAAACTACCCACAGACATTCTGGGTATATCCAGGGTGTCATCCGTGAATTATCCGAGCGTGCTGTAATAATAATATGTAATATTTATTCAATAAAATTGCCCTTCAGGTTTACAATTGAATAAGCATGTTTATAAACTATGCAGGTATACAGTTCAACAAGAATACAGTGGGGTATGCTATAACGAATCTAATTGGTTCTAGAACCTTGTTCGTTATAGCATTCGTTCGTTATAGGATTAATCCGTTCCAGGCCCCCAAATACAACCACTTAACACTGAAAAATATAATATAAAATTGTAAAAATTGTAAAAAAGTGCATAAATATGCATCTAAACCCCTGAAATAAAGAATATCATTAATATTTGTAATAAAAAAGCAATAAATTAGTAAAAAAAAAAACCAAAACCCTTTTTTTTTGGTTTTTAAATAATGTTCGTTGTAGGAGTTTCGTTCGTTATAGCATTCTCAATTTTATAGGTAAAACCGTTCGTTATAGGAATATTCGTAGTAGGATCCGTTCGTTATAGCATACCCCACTGTATAGATAATATACTGTAAGTATAGAGTACATGTAGGCTAGGGGAGTACAGTACTGTATAGAGTTTCCTGTGTGCTGAGACAGTGCAGGTAAGCAGTAAGGCAACTTGACCAAGGATAGATGACAATGCTCTCTGGAGCTTATTTCCAGGAGGGCCCTTTGCTTAGGCTCATGCTTGGTCTCTAATCAGTAATAGTATATCTACACGAGTATTAATGAGTTTATTTGATAGAATTTAACAAGGTTTACATTGCGCTTGGACTATCCGAGGCAGGCAGATCACTACCGCAGTTTTACAGTATGTGGTTTAATAATATAAAAAAATCATTCTCTTATCTTGCTGTAGCTTCACCTACTGTATTATGTATTTCTTCAGGGGCAGATCCAGGAATATCTAAAGGGGGGTCCAGGAAGTTTTGGGTAGTGGAACATGGCGAGCATTTTGAGGCCCCTGGAAGCCACGTGCACTTGATATTAGGAGATATTCTGAGGTCAATAGTAATTACTTTTTACAATACAAAAATGCCTGAGTACAATGCTGCATTAAAGAAAAGGTATTGAAATTTTCTGATGAAAAAGGGGGAAGGGGGGTGTCAGGATCTCCAGGACTCCCCCTGGATCCACCCTTGTTCTTTGTTTTAGCTTTGAATTGTTTAATACCATAACGTTTTGATGTAGTCTGGTAACTTGTTCCAGTCTGTTATAACAATAAAGAAGAAAGTGTTGTTTGCTTGACCATGGACACCATGTACATTACCATAGAATTATGTTCACTAGTACCTTGCCAGTTCATATTTTGTAGGTTAAAGATAAGTATATACTGTCCTGTACAGTATCTGAGCAAAATGAACTCCTTCACTGCTTCCAAACTTAGACATTTATGCCACTCCATGGGATTAACCCCTAAAGCCAAGGTGGCATAACTCTACGTCCACTTTAGTGACCCCGGGTGATGTTCCTCTATGTCCTTAATCTTTGCAGCATAGTTTGAATACCTAGAGAGGACAAAGTACTTTGCTTATGATATTTATTTACTTGGCAATTCAACTCGCACATAATCTTTGTTTCAAGTCTAGTGGTCACCTTACCCACGAGCTACCATGATGGATGCACATCCTTCGACGTCTCGTGACCTGCCTCACTCCTCCAGACCCTCAAGAGTTGAGTGGCATCGATATAGTATTGAGTGACACTGACAGTGATGGGGAGGAAACAGACCCAGATGATGTAGGGTTTGTTAAGGTGGCCAGCGGTGAGAACAGTGATACAGACAACGGCACTCGCCCCCCCCTCCCTACCCTACCAGCCCCCTTAGCAAGGTCATGGTCATGAGTGTTGTGGACGTAGTGGACCACTTGCACGCCAGCCACAAGAGTACACTTGGAGTGACTGCACACTAATTTTATGACTGAAATACAGTACCAGTTTTTAACTGTAAATTATTTTTAATTTTTATTTTTGCCAAAATGTGGCCATGTGGGGGGTCCAGCAGGTCTTACATCACCCGGGGCATAAGGGTTAATGAATTAAATGTACAGTATTTGATTAATACAATCTCACTGAATACAGAAGAAGTACTGCAGGGGTTTACTATACATAGTGAAGCCTTAATCCTTTGTGTACGGGTTCCTCTAAGCTGAGTAAAATAATCTGGTGTTACTCAAATACTGTAATATTAAAAGTAGCATCCCCATAGTGAAGGGGTTAATATCTGTTCAATATGAACATACTGTACCAGTACAGGTATATGTACATGAATATGGTAATGTCCTCCCTAAAAGTTTATAGTAATGAAAAGGTCATTTGTATTTATTAAGTTCAAATTAATATTTCTATTCAATACCAAACAATCAGAAAAGACATTATTTTAATACAAATCTACTCAGTATTAGGTAACTCAACAGTTTATGCACTTTACAAAATAACAAATGTATAACCTCACCATTGAGCTTATGTATTCACAATAAAAATGTATCTGTCCAGATGGGTCCAATGAATTTCATTTTGATCAATATGACTCATGCTGTCTCTATAGGGTTGTCAAACTCCTTGGTCCATGGTGTCATTGTTTTGCAGAGTGTGGATAGATACTATCTTTACAATGTGTACAGTCACTAATATCCCCTCCAACACCTTTTTTAATTCATAAATATAGTGCATAAATCACCATTTTCGATTGATGATAATGAACCAGGAAAAATATAAGGTTATCTATATATAAATACTGTATAAACAATATTTGGTAACCTGTGTTTTGTTCATCCTGGACACATTTCTGCAGTCTCACCATTACAACTACTGTACCAGGGAATCTCCCATCCAGTCTTACAATGTTTCAGGTGCAGGTGTCCAGTAATTCAATGCACTACTGTACCAAATAATTGTTGTAGAAAAGTAAAACTAGGACACTTACTGGCATATTCTTTAGATGAGAAAAAACCTCACTAGTTCTCAGGACAATTTCTTGAACAGCTTCGCAGCCGGCCTTACACAAAAATGATGTATTCCTTTGTGGGTGGGGTTGTGTCTGGGATGATTCCCCACCACCTTGTTGCACACCTTGGCTGCCTGTAAAAATATATGAATAAGTAAATAAATAAAAAATAAAATAAATCCAAAAATTGTGTACGTATACTGTAGCACCCATCACTCTTATAGAATGCAGGTCAGGGTATTCCTTGATATCTGCCATTAATCAAACTCTGTACAGTACCTGGATTTCACTAAACCAGAGACAGACAGTTCAGGTCTTATATGGCTAATACAGTACTATATGTACACTCCACTAAAAAATATTGTGCACCCTTGGCTCTGAAACCATCCTCAAAGATCACTGCGAGAGAAGCCGTGATGAGTGTTATCACATTTCTTGGCTTGGTGTGTTATATTGTATAACCCCGTAAAGATGCAGAATAATCTTTTAGTAAGAGGCAATTTTGAGAAATAACTAAATACTCTACTGTACTAAAACTCCATTTTATAACCAAATCTACCCAAGCCTGTATAGTATCAGTTGCCTTGTGTATAGTAATCAAGTACAGAGGGTTGAAAACCCAAGTTCTCGAGGACATAGACATGTGGCTGAAACTAATCCAAAATAAGTCTACGCTTTCCCATAAAATCATGCTTTTAAAAAGAGACTTGATGGATATAACAGTTACCACAAAAGACTAGAACCACTGAGGTTCACACTTGCACTATCACCTCTGGTTTTTAACCCCTTTTGCACGGAGGTCTCCCTATGCTAAATAAAATTGTCTTACGTTAGACAAATAAAATATTAAAAGTGCTGTACCCATGGCAAAAGGGTTAATTGTCATACATGGCATAACTTGTCATTTTATGGTCCTCTCCAATGCCCAGCTCATGACAGTAGCCCCAATAGGGAGAAACAACGGAACATGAATCACTCCATCTTAGCTTGTTTACATACTGTAGGTACACCACAGATTTTCCGGGAACTGATGACCCTGCACCTCCTTTAGTCCGGACAAAATTACAAGAGGGCACTTAACTTCCTTCCCTGCCTGCCATATTTTGCTGGATTTACTGTTACTATAAGTGTTTACTGATACAGTGATCCCTCGGTTAACGAACGCCTCGGTTAACGAATTACCTTCCATAAGAATTTTCAATTCGGTTAACGAAATTTTTACAAAATCATGTCAACATGTGTTCGCTTGCTCACCAGCTGGAATATTAGTCCGCCAATACAATAACTGGTTCTAGGGCTTAAATTCGTTCTCATTTGAGTAAATATCAAGAAGGTTGTACTATTCAATAATTTTCCAAATTTTATATTAAATTTTTTAGTTATTTTAACACTTATTTAACATAATTACAGTACAAGAAACTAGTTTTTGGTGCGCCATTCAGCCACTTGATTCACCCAGCAAGGCGTCAGTTTGTATCTCTGGTCAGTGGAGGTAACATCGCTTGTGGCTCTCTTGAATATAAACTATTTTTACGTTTTACAGTACAATTATTGGTCATTCTGAAATTTATTTTACATATTGACACTATATACTGCAGTGCAGTGTTGATTTAAAGAAAATACTCTTGAATTACACCTAAAGAACATAAAATTTTATAAGTGAAATGACGACATGAAGCTTGGGGTGATTTCTCTTCCACCCCCACTTCCTTCTCTTCTCCCTTCTCCTCCACCCCCACCCCCACTTCTAATTCCCATCATCATCATCATCATCAACCAGGAGCGTTCTACATACTCACCTCAAAATAAGTGTACTTTATTGCATTTATTTTTACTTTGTATGTAATTTTCGGTGAGCTGGAACCAATTACCCAAAATCCCATTGAAACAATGGTTTCGGTTAAAGAACGACCTTCTGGAACGAATTGTGTTCATTTACCGAGGGACCACTGTATAATGTTAGTACCGATGTTAATAATAGTACAGTATATTACTTGTTCTGTGTAATGATCATGTTGTCACATCATTTTCCCCAAAGCTCATGTAGGTAGGTATGTACAGTCAGAAATGATGTTGCCCTTACATACAGTCTACACCTAGACCCCGACTTACGACGGGGTTAGGGACCCAAATCCAGGTCGTAAGTCCGACATGGTCGTAAGTCCGACATAGATAAAAAAAAAAAAAATCTACAATGAAATACAGTACAGTAAAAGTAATGAATAATGATGAATGGATACAGTACAGTGAAAGTAATAAATAATAAGGAATGGATACAGTGTGACTGAGCACTTAACCTTTAATGTACAGTAGTCAGCTGAATGCACATGGGGCCCCCATAATTTTCTAATTATACATGGAGACTGCATTAACTGGAAACGTTTCGGTATAGAAAATGCGTGTGTCATTTAAAATTTTTTTTTTTTTTTTTTTAAATCTATATCTGAGGCGGTCGTAAGTCCCGACGGTCGTTAGTCCACGTAGTCGTAAGTCGGGGTCTAGGTGTATTTGATTACGTAAATGAGACCAGAGGTTGATTTATGTATTTGGTTTGCATTACCTCAATTGCAAAACCAAATTATGAAAATAATGTTATTAACATTTCATTACTAAATAAATTTGTTCATAATGAAAATTATTCAATGTAGCAGAAATAACTTGATTGGCTGTACAGTCGACCCTCGTTAATTCGGACTAATGGGGGGGAAGGGTGTCCGTTTTAGCCGATTGTCCGAATTAACCGATTTAGGAGTTAATATTGCATTATATTTCAAAGTCATTGTTTTCGTCACGATTTTATCCCACTTTCCACTGTGATACGTACGTAATTTCAGCAAAAATATTACATTTCCGTGAATGTATTATATCAAGCACAGTATGAATAGAATATCATTGTAATATAACAGTATTTTAACCGAAAACTATTAAAAAACGAGTAACATCTCTTGAACAACGGAAGGTTAGGTAAAATCTTTTGTTTTCGTCATGTATTTTATCCTATTTTACATTAAAATACATCACGTTTCAGCAAAACTACTGATACTCAACAGCTGGTTGTAAACAATAGGAGGTTGAAGTAGATTACCTGGTATTATATTAAGTGTGAAATATCAAAAAGGTTTTTATTACCGGTATTTTTTGTAGATTAATGAGAACTGTGATACCGTATATGATATGATAAGTTAGTCTGTGCTAAGAACTTCAACATAGACTACTGAAAACACGTTGTAAGGTAATTTAGCCTATTGTAAGTTGGTGAGCTTCATTTGCTGAAGGAACTGCACAACTTTTCATTACTAATTGGTACATATTTCACATTTCCATTGTTTATTAGCAATAAATGGTAAATATTTTTCATGTCTGAAGCTAAAAGTTGCATCCCCCCCCACCCCCCCACACTAGTGGTGGAAATGTTACATTTAACCAAAAAGACGCTGATGTTTTATCCCAGCAGTGGGTGGACCACCATTTTAGCTTGAGGTCCGCGTAGGTAATATTCCTTAAAAAAAAAAAAAAAAGTTCGTTCAGATTTTGTCCGAATTATCCGAAATCCGGATTAAAGGGGTCCAAATTAACGAGGGTCGACTGTACTAGGCATTAACAGTTTTGGTAATTATAATGGTGATAAGAATGTGAATATGAAATATTTTTAGAATACATTGATGTTTTCTTGATTGTATGTATAATCATGAATCAGAAAGTAGACTACTGTGCTATATTTTATTCAATATAATTCCTTCAACAAAATATAAAGAAAATTACAGCCATAAACCATAGTTTCTGTAAATATGACTCAAAGAGAGAGAGCGAGGAGCGTGGTCGCTGCCTCCCAGAGTGACGTCATCAAACCTACACCCAGGCCTTCTCTTCTAGGTGGCCTTGGCACAGGTCACTGACCCACATCGGGGCCTGCGGGGCGAAAATATAATTGTAATAATTATATTATTATTAATTCATAGTAAATAAAATTTATAATAAAAAATACAAATTGGAAAATAAAATCATAAAATAATAATGATCATAATAATAAGACTGCAAAATGTAATAACAATAATAAAGAACCATAACAAAATACAAAAACGAAAAAATCAAAACTTTGAAACAATATATGTATGTTGTATTGTCAATACAATAGTAAGAGAAACAATTGAGACCCTGCAATTGTGTGTAAATGAGGCAGAAAGTCAGATCAGAAACCTGGGACTTGGTCACAATTTTTGTGATGCCATATGGCAGCAGGGTCTACCGTTAGACAACACATTATGCTATCAATATCTTCCCAGGTGGTAGTACCTCCCTGTTTGGTAGCTGCCTACTACCTATTTTGTAAATTAGTACAGTACAGTTTTGTAATTTATCATCACTTAATAAATACTATTGCAGTGTATTTATCACCACTTAATAAATACTATTGTAGTATGTTTATCATCACTTAATAAGTAATATTTTAGAGTATTGTAAAGTATTATATATCTGCATATACTCGGGATCGAGTCTGACGTTCATCCAGCTATGGTACCGGGAGTTCTGCAATAACGTGTGTTCTGACAACGCAAATTGGTTATAACGTGATTTATGAATAGAAGAACGATATTTGTAAAACGCGAACGCTTGTTTGCTGTAACACGATTTTTGCTTACTATTTCTCCAATTTTGTGGTATTAACTGTGAATATGGAAAAGAAGAATATTTCCAAGAAGCGTTCTGGTGATCGCATTCCCGGTGATGATCGTAAAATAAAGGCTATAACCCTTGAAGAGAAGCTCGATGTTATCAACCTCAAAATCACCCTTCTCCCCCATCAAGTTATATTCATATTTTTTCAAGGTAAAGTGTTACATTTACTGTATGATTTCATTATTAGATATGAATGTAACATTTATTTAGACTGTGCTATCCTTTGTGTTAGGCTAACTACTAATTTTTTTCGATTTCGAGTAATCTGCACCTAACCCTATTTTCTCCATAATCCCTGTTATTTCTATTGCACGAATTTCTATAACGCGAGGTTTTACAAGAACACAACTATCGCGTTATAGCAGAACTGACTGTACAATGATATGAATTATTAAAGATATCACCTTTGTTGGTGAGAACTGAGGTGACTCGAGAGGCCAATACGAGATCGGCAGGA